CCCAATATTGATCACAACGTTCACCAGCTGAATGTTGATGGTAACTAATACGTTTTGTAGATCTATTTGTACAAATGAAAGATAAGGATTAGTAATCAACATTTGATACATCATCACACTCTTTCAAAATGTGTAAACTACACATAACAAAATAACATAAGCAATTAAAATGAAAATTTAAATCCATGCTTAGTGAATTTATTGAGTAATCATTTTAGAATATTTAAATTTTAATTCATTAAATGATCGTTTTGAGATAGTTTAAATTTTTGCCCATGTTAATTTAGCTACTACTATAGCACTTAGATGACTAACCAAAGATGGAAAGAAAAACCAAACATCAATGGAGTCGCCAGAAATCTGTGGTTTGGTTGGGTAATAGTGTTGTGGAGATTAGTTTGGGGTTAAGAGAGGGGTCGTCAAGTGAAGAGGTCGAGTGAGAGCTGAAGCGTGCTGCAAGTGGTTGTTGTGGTTGGAGATGTTCGTGTGAGGGCCGACGGCTATAGGAGATGTGGAAGTCAGGTGAAGGACGGGATGTTTGCAGCTAGGTTGATGTATGTCAGGCGTTAACAAGAAAGAGATTGAAGCTAATGTGGGGAGCTTCGGCTGGATTGGGAAGGCAAAGAGGATGGTGGTCGGCTAGGGCCTTGTTTTAGACGGCTTAATTGTCTTCTGTTTCAAAACAACAAAATTATTTTTGGGTTGCCAGAAATTTGTGGTATGGTTGGGTAATAGTGTTGTGGAGATTAGGTTGGGGTTAAGAGAGGTCAACATCATTATTCATTAATGGAAGTCGGAGGAGGGGTAGATCACGGGGTGTGAAGATGCGGGCTGGTGTCGAGAGATTCGACTATGTTGATCTGCACTATGGAGGATTCGAATGGCTGTTGGAGTTTGGCGTGGATTCGTGCGTTAAGTCTGGCTTGCTGAAGGGAGATTGATTTGCTTAGAGTTGACGAGTAGAGGATGTCGAGTGTAGTGCGGGTTTGGGAAGAAGGAAAACGATGAAGCTTCGCTTCATTCTCGATTTAACCATGCAAACAAAGGCGCGATATTGCATGCGGGTTATGGGCAACTGAATTTGGCTCCGTTTGCAGGTGATGGACCGCTAACTACAGGGTTTTTAAATAGAGATTTGTACAGGCTGTGACAGAGGTTTTTTTTAATTTATTAATTTTTTTAAATTGATTTATTTTGGGTTTGTCTGTTAGGAGGTCAACATCATTATTCATTACTATTTATTGAAGAGACGAACATAATGGATGATGCTACAAAATAAGGCCGCACTAACTTCTCAGGCTATCACACTTATCATCCTGAGATATAAAGTCATTCTCCCCATTTCTTCTATTGGATAGGGCCTTGCAACTACAACACATCATAATCATAAGCTTATTTTTTTTGAAGTAAGCGAATCTTTTTCATCTCCTCTCAATTTATCGTTTGGCCATTAGCAACTCTTTATCTATTTCCTTTGATGCTAATGGCTACCAAATAAAGGACCTGCGTATCAATCGTGTCTTGTTTTTAAGGGTTTGTGTAACGTGTTATATTCAATCCATACCTCCACACTTTGATGCAAATTGCAGTTTTTGAACGAAAGCATCGAATTCTTATCAATGATCAAACTCTAGTTCTCCAAGCTCACTTACCTCATTATTTTGGGTTAATCCTCTTCTCACCATCGCATATCTTATAAACCAGCTTCCTTCATCCGCATATCTTTTAAATCGGCTTCTGCCATCCACAAAGTCTCCCTCATATTCCCATTGATGCATTTTGGCTGTCAATGATATCCATGGCTTACGAATGCTATGATCCAATTTTTGTCAAACTCTTCTTATCTCGTCATGTCTCCTTTGCTGGGAAAATTATTACATGCGGCATCCGGATCGTTCGGTGGCGAATTCGGACGCCGCACATCACCCGGGGCCCGTGCATCTGGGTGATGTGACGCATCCTGATTCGCTTCCAGAATGTCCAGACACCGCACACAATAATCTGTCCCTTTGCTGAACAATCTTTTCATGTAAGTCACAAAATTCTCCTTTATCATTTTCATCTTTCACTCCACCTCTCAAGTTGGCCCTGTGCCAAGCTTGCCTACATCATTTCCCATAAAGCATACAAATCGTTCCCTACCTTCTTCACCAACCGCACTTGTTGAGGTCCCCACCGATCAGTTCACTATTTCATCAACTTCTAATTCCAGTACAACCATGCCCACTCGTCCCTGAATCTTATTTTGACCCTGATAGTTCCCCAACAAAATTTATCCATCTCTGAAATTTCATCTCTTCTGTGCCTACTTGGACATGCCATGACTACTAGATCTTATTCTAGCTTACAAACAAGGAATATTCTCAATTTGACGCATCGATGTGTCACATCTCCTCATCCAACTTGCTATATTATGGCTGTTAAAGAAGCCAAATGGCGCAAGGTTATGTCAGTAGAATATTTGGCACTTCTTTAGGAATGGTGCTATCATTGTTAATCTACGATCACAATAATATTATAATGTACATACTCATTTAGTCCATAAGTAGCTTTGTGAAGCTGCTTATGTAAATTCTAATTTTTGTATTAGAATTCTGTTTTAAGCAGCAGTAAGAAAACGGTCCCAAATAAGAAAATTGTCCCAAACGAAACCTAAGCGGCAACGACACCACCTCCATTTTCTAGGATCTTCAGCAACTGCATCAACGTCTGCAAATGCAAAACTTAGGTTCTATTTCTAATTTTCTTTACATTACATGTGAATAGAAATTTTTCATGTCTTCAATGAACACAGAAACAATGTTTGCGGCCTTAAGGAGAAATCTGTGCAGTACATGGTTATGTTCAAAGCAAATTAAATGAGTAGAAAAATTGCCCTGATCGTCAGGATATCCTACCCGAAATGACCTCTAGTTGAGGCAATATGTTAAAGTGAGGATTAATATGAATTTTAAAAGTATTGAATTTATTTTTTGATGAATGCATTATAAGAGGGTTATACTTTATATTTATTATGAAGAAATTTTGATTATGAAATCCAAGCACTTTTTTCTTAATGCCAGTATTCATTTTGTGCTCGGCTAGTTTGAAGGAGTCCTAGAGTGAAACTATTACGTGCAGAGTTTGGACGTAAAGCTATGCTCGGATTCTAACAAATTACGACACTTGGCTAATATATATTATATATTAGCTGTATTGGCTAATACACACTATGTATTATAATATAAACTGTATTCTAGTTGTGTATTAGCTGTGTATTGGTATGTACTAGCTATGTATTTGTGTGTATTAGCTGTGTATGTATATTTTGTGTACTAACAATGCACATCTAATACATAAATGATACACAACTAATACATAACTAATAAACAGTTTATATTAGCCATGTTGTCATTTGGTTGTTATCCGGACGTAACTCTACATCCAAACTCCCCAAGTTATAATTTCTCCTGTAGTTTACTCACCATGTTTTTCATATTGCAATTGCAACTTTATTTGACTATTGTCTTATTGCTTCTTTCATGCTGATTTTAGAATATTTTTGTGATGAGACATTATTTTTTACAACTAGAATTGTTAATGTATGATAGTTTTAAGAAAGTAGTTATGTTCTTAAAAAAAAAAAGAACATATTAATAATTGATATATCGATTTTAAAAATGTTAATTTTTTTACAATAAATTCATGATCACATTTACAAAATACTGCAGCAGTGCAGCTCCTTGCTCACCTACAGTCTAAACACGATACAGATTATTGGTCTTTGCATTAAATTCTGTGATTGCTCACAAGAGTTTATTTGAGTGAACTGTGTTAAAGTCCACGTGTTTAACCCTCAAGGATAATGAATGTTGTTACCATCACCATTTACGACGATCATCCTTCTTATTGTCAGCTATGAGAACTTTTATTTGGTCCGGTGAATCGTGCGTAGAGCTACGTTTGGCCGGCACTAAGATCACAGGCACAAAACGAGAAATACCGAGCAATACCAACAATAACGAGAAATACGTTTATGTGAAGACAAAATACCGAGTAATACCGAGCAATACTGAGTAATCCCAAAAATACCGAGTTTTTTCTAGAAAAAACTCGGTATTTTTTGGGATTACTCGGTATTACTTGATATTGATCTTCAAAGTGCAGTATTCCTCGTTATTACCAAAGAATACCTAGCAATAGCGATCAAATACCGAGCAAAAACCAAGTAACAAACCTCTGACCGAAAGTAGAGCTACATCCGGCCAAAGGACGTAATAGAAGTTCCAGCTATGGAGACACTTGCCATGTCTAGTGAGCTGATGAATGATTCATTTGAGATTATTACAATTATTTATATAATTATGGAGATTTTTTTTAAAAGTTTTTTACGTTCAACTTTCTTGCAGTCATAAACCCTAATAGATTTCATTGAAAAAATGTTGAAATCAAATTAAAAAAAAAAATTGAAATCAAATTAAAAAGTAAAAGTTATTTAAAAAAAAAATAAAGTGCAGAAGGTGCCCCAACTGATCCAATATATTCATGAGCTCACGGAATGTCAATGTCAGCTTAGTTTTTACGCCTAAATGGCCAACTTGATGCAATGAACTCGTCCTCAAAGAGGCTTGATCATTAGCCAAATATTGTGTAGTAGATATCACAGGCCCATTAGTGGAATTCATGAAATCAGGCCATTGTAATTCTCGTTCTTATGGCCTAAGCCAACCATGGCTGTGGTTGAATCTCATGAGAGTGGCCTTGCTTGGGAAAGATTATTAAGTGTGGAGTCCAGATCGGAGAATAGACTGATTTTTGTGAGTGTACGCATCAAAAGAATAGTTACTATTCATCATTACGTTTTTATTGTGCACACTCTCAAAAACCGGACAAAACTACGGCCCAGATTCCACACGTAATAATCTCTCAAGAAAATGAATTACTGTAATGCCATATATCAGTGTGTTTGAATTTCTGTAATGCCATATATCATCAATACCAGCAAGCATACTAGAAACGGCTGTAGAAATGCTAGCTCCATTGCCAAGCCAACAGAATTGTTTTCTTGTAACACTTAGCAGATTTGGTTAATGTACGTAGGGCTTTATCTGCCTTTTCATTGTTCACTTCACATAGAATCACAATGAGTCCACATTCAGAAGTTTGAAAAAGGAAGTAGAAGGTACACACAAAAAAAGAAAAAGAGGCAAATAGAGAGAAGAACAAAAACATAAGATAAACGATGGAAATCGCCATCTGTGCTTGATTCTGCAACATTAACTACTTAGTATTTTTAACTGCTCGATGCCCACTCGATTTCTTGATAGATTCTATCCTCTGAAGCCTTATCTGCTCTCTGAATTTGGCTATGAACTCATCAGCCTTCTTGTCCACCTCGTTCTCCTCTGCTTCTGCCCTGACTTCTGCGGACGAGTGCACAGCCTCTTCAACATCAGATGAATCGCTTGCTTTCTCACTTTCAGAATCATCAGACATTACAATCATCTTCTCCATGAACTCAACCTTCTTCTTCTTCTTCTTTGTTTCAGTTTGATACTTCTGCTGCTGCAGAGCTGGAGCACTCTCGGTTGATTGCGCTTCCTTCGCTCTCACAGTTCGGACTGATCTCGGTGGAGACGAGTCCAACGAACTGTTTTTGAGAAATCCCTCTCTTCCTTTTATGCTCAAATCCTTCAATTCATCCTTGAAGCTCTTCTTCACCTCCCTCCTTGTTGAAATCAGGGATCCATGACTGAAAGAAGGTGGTGGTGGCGGCGGCGGTGGAGGATAGGCTACATGAAAACTCTTGTCTGATATGGAATGCTCGTTTAATGAAAAGGAGCTAGCTGTCGCATAATAGGATGGGGTTGGTGAGGCATCGTTCATGGCAGGACAATCATCTATCGCTTCCATTCTCCCAGATCTCGATTTCCATGGAATGGGAGAAGAAAGCACAGCGCTCGACGAGCCTAAAGAATCCGAGTTCTGAACTCGAGATTTCTTCAAGCTACGAACTGGCAAAAGCAAAGGCTTGCTCTCAACGATGACGGGGTCTGCGCGATGGTACTGCGAGCTCCAAGTTTCAGCCTTGCTGTCTTCGTCATCGAAGGCGGACGAGATATGAAGGATTCTGGAGACATAAGAGTTGGTGTCGGACTTAAAAGCGGCGTCTTTTTCTTTATCTTTGTCGAAGTCGTGGTCGGCGTTTCGACGGCTGAAAAGGCCGTAGGAGACAGCGATTCCGACGAGGAGGAGGTGGAGGAGCTCCCATGTTCGAGAGAGGAAGGTGGGGTTGGCGGTTTCAGGCATTTGGGAAGGGAAGAGGGGAAGTAGAGCTATGCAGATGGCGAAGATGATGGCTTTGTAGAGGAAGCTTGACAGGATTTTGTGTGGCGGGTTGTTCTTCTGCGCAGGGAGATCTGAAGCTGGATTCTTGGTGGTGGGAGAATGGATTACAGGAGAGTTTGGCTCCGCCATTAGAGAAGGTGGAGTTTGGAAGTTGGATGATTCTTCTTCTTCTTTGGTTTGCTTTTCCTTCTGTATTTTCTTTGTTCTTCAATCGCTGGCTCTGTGCTTTGCTTTGCTTCTGGTCTTGGAAGCCTTGATGAGCTGGTGAGAGTAAGAAGAAGAAGAAGAAGACTTGGTGGCGAAGGAAACAGGTCGGAGGCAATAAAGCGGAGATCGCCGTGGGACAAGTGACGAGGCATCGGGCACAATTTAAAAGGTTGGTTGATGCTTTTATTTTACCGTTGGTGGAGAATCGCAGAAAGGCCCTCTGCAGGTTCCAGAATTTGCAGCAATGTCCTCATCCCTCACCACTACAAATTTTTTTTTAACCTTTTTTTTTCTAATAAGCATTATCTTTAGGCCAATGAAATTTCCGATCGACTTAGCATTCAACTCACACTAATTTACATGAGTCAACACTTAAGACTTTCACTGCTTGCCAAAAGATTCGAACGAGGGACATCAGCTTTGCCTAACCAGCTCTTTTTTTTACCAATTTCAAAAGAAATGATTTATAACTAAAAGTTATTATTATTCAGAACATTTATATGCGACTCAACATGAAAATTATTTTTTGATTAAATGCAAAATTTTTAAATAAAATATATATTTCTTGAAGAAAATTATATCGCACTTTGATCATCTAATAGATGTGAAGATTATATATTTAACAAATCTGGACTACGAATTTGAGTTCTGGAGAAGTCTTCTATCTTTTACTTAATTCCATAGGTGAAATTCATATTAAGCTGAAAAAAATGCAGTATTTTACCTCATTTAATAATTTTACCGAATCAAGATAAGGTCATCTCCAAACTGAAAAACTCAATTTTCTCCAAAATATTATAATAAATGTAGTAATTCTTCTCCAACCAAACTTTATTTAACCTAATTTTTTGAATTAAAAAAAAAAAGCATGTGAACAGTGCGACGTCATGCCAATATTTGCGTCGCATTGTTCACCCTAACGCGAATGAATTTTTTTTTTTTT